TACAAAAGGTGCTATGCGATGAAATTAATAGCAATAGAAAGACGCTCTCTCGTGTACTTATTGCTTTCTTACCCTATAGCTGAGTCATTATACTTTGTCCAGGATCGAAATGCGCACAAGCTATAGGTGGCACACGTGACCATCCATCACACCTAATTAGAGAGTTTTTCTGTAACGTACATATGTCTGTGGCGTGTTCTCGCTCAGTTTTTACGGAACGTTACTAGAAAGAGCCTCAGCATTAGCGCAATCGAAAATACGCTGCAAATCGCAGCGGTTTTCTACAGTGGTAGAGGGTCCCCCTTCAACTCGGAAGGTACTGGGTTCGATTGTACGATTGCAGAAATGTGATGCAAACAACTACGTACACGTCACGAGTTGTTGTCCACTGAGCAGTCGACACCAACTCCCGTGCAAGTACAGCATACCACAGTGCGCGCTACTTGCGTGCGCTCTGTCTTGCTGTGGAAATGCAGTGTCACGTCTGCTCAAGAACTCTGTGCTCACGACACACACACACACATCCCTCGAACCTTTCTAAGATGAAACCTGCGACTGGGTGCCATAAATACCTCATAAAATTGACAGCTTCGCTCGCCTAAACCTAGAAGAAAGGCCATGCCCTCATACTTTATTTATTGTTGAGTTCAGCACTTGAGTCACCACTCAATGGCTTTAATTCATATTGAATTTGTCTTAATTCACCTTCATTCACGCTTTATTCGAGTTAGGCATTTAACTGTCTCTTCTGATTAATTGGTATATAGGTGCCACACAAATTAACACCTCGTTCGCCTTTAATCAACTTCAATTTTTCATCCAGGGAACGCGTGTACGCTCAAGGCGCGATTTTTAGCACCATTCGTGCTGACAAAGCCCAATAGTTTTTCCCTCCTTATAGCTATATGAGATATTCCTTTCGCCTTGATGATTAACCGTCACGTTCTTGTAAGATAAATGCAAGATGCAAAACAAGTGGGCTGGTAATCCTTAAATTCGAAAGAGCGCAGAAGTGATCGTCAGAAGTGATACCCCTCGCTAACGTTTCACGGACAAGTGGAGTGACCTTTCTGCACTCTACTTTCACTACGCCCCCCTCCCTCCTCCTGATATTTATGTACATTTAAACTCGACTGTCAAATCGTGCGGGGTAGGTGCATGTTCGAGACGACGTCGAGGGACCCTGGTATACTCAAGGTCAGACTCAGTAATCTTGTTATCAGAAGCGTTTAATTAGGGAACAAGGAAGTACAGATGCAGAGAAGAGATAATTAAGAACCTTGGTGCTTCAGTGGAGGAGTTTTTCAGTGTTGCTGCCTGTTCTCTGTTGACCATGACGGGCTCCGTGTCAGTGCGTTCTATTCCGTGCTCGGATCCGCCATCGTCGTCAATGCGCACATCCACCGGATGATATGATTGCACTGGCTTCTGGTCAAAAGGTCCACTGCTGCTCGGGCAGTCGCAGTTTCTTCGCGACCTCACCACTGGCGATAGTTATAGCGCGAGAACAAAACGACGACACAGAGACAAGGACTCGCGCTATAACTATCGTCATGCCATACCAACTAGCCCAAGCTGCCACACTCACCACTGGATGCCGTTTATACATTCCAGCCACCTTCGGAAGAAGTCACGCTTTGTTGGGCTCAGACTTTGGGGTCAAGGACGTACGAACGGGCCAACAAAAAGTGAATGGAAAAACCAGGTGTGAACTTTTGGGGACGGCACAAAGGGTGTCCCTTACTCCTACTTCACAATGAGGAACTTTACGGCTGTTAGCTTACTTCTCAACACCCCCTCCAGCCCCTCCAGCATTTTTCTATTTCTACGATAGCGTCGCCATTGAGATTGGGCCGCCAAGTTGTTTACCAATTCGTTGCCGAAAGACTGAACGGGATAAGAAAGAACGAATGGACTGTGTGCGACTGCACAAAACGTGTCCTAAGCACTCACTCACAAACAAGAAAAATTCGGGCACTGCCATGCTTGGTGCTTTCAATTGTCGACATTGTGAAGAAGCGGCACCATCCTCTTGAAAATCAAGCAGGGTCGTCTCTAGTGGACTCGCTAAACTTTTGCGACGCGACCTCCCTCGTATTTCATGCAACAGCTCGCAAAAGTAGCAAAATCGACTGCAGAAGCAGAATGTAAAGCGGTCCACACACAACGCCTCCGTCGTCATTCTTTCACTTTTGCGTGCTGGCGTGTGAGTTTAAACCAAACAACTATAGCCAGGCAAGCAACAAAGGTTTTGAACAAGCCTTAGAAGGGCACTGTAGCCTAACGAATGAGCTATGCCAAAGCTATTACTCTAAAGAGTCCCTACATTTTCACCATTTCGTCTATACCCACAACTGTTTTCTCTCCCGGCTCACTGCCACCGTGTTTTCCCCAACTTGGATGATTTACAAAGCCACGTGCGTCGAAGTACATTAGCCACGCATCTTTGAGCGGACAATACGCGAAGGCGAATTTCTCGCCACACAAATCCCCTGTTATCAGTGAGTGGCGAAAGCGTTTGACCAGCTGCTGGAAAATGGTTAGGAAGACCATGGCGACCGATAATGAGCTTTAGGGCCGTTACACGCGCTATCCGCCGAGCCGCAACGCAGGTGTCGGCACACCTGCCGCAGCCAAGCGGGAGGTGAAAGAGCGTCGCCACAAAACACCTATATGCCTTAGAAGTGTGGCAGCTTGGGCTAGTTGGTATGGCATGACGATAGTTATAGCGCGAGAAGAAAACGACGACACAGAGACAAGAAGGACACGTGTCTTTCGTGTCCTTCTTGTCTCTGTGTCGTCGTTTTGTTCTCGCGCTGTAACTATCGTCATACTTATACGCCGCTCGCTCATTTGCGCCCTGCTTGCGTTCGGCAGCTGTCCCAACAAGTTCGGTGCGCATACGTGTACAGGTCACTGAGAATTGGCGGTGCCGCTTCGTTGTTTGCCGGTGCTTAGCAAGGAATAGAAAACAACCGAGAGACTTTAATAGCTTGTGCTGTTAAGCACTCATCCTGTTACCTACAATTTTTTTTCTTTGCTACTGTCTCATTTCTTTCCGCTCATACATTAACGCTATATTGCTCACATTTCCCGAAGACTGTCAGGCGCAAATTGAAACAAGAGCACAAATTATTGCAAACCTATTACGAGCTCCGCGACATGGTCTCGGCACTCCTGCCCTGTTACACACCTGGAATCGCTGTCCGACACATATAGGAACAAAATACGTTGAGGGTAGAAAGAAGGGCAAACAGCTCGTTGACACAGCTGCTGCCTCTCGTCATACTTTCCCCCTGCACAACGGTATTCAAGGTCGCTTTAACCACGACCAATAAATAACGAAAAAGATGTCTTAACAATGGCAACCGTTCCGAGCAGCACACGTGCGCAGGGGCCCCACGGGCGAAATACGTTCCGCACTCTTTTTTTGTTCCGAAGCCCTGTCTGTGATCCTTTACAGCTTGTGCAGATAAGGATTGCTGGTACTGGGAACAGGAAGAACAACAACCGAGGACCCCACGCTGAAGATCACGGAGAGGGAGAAGATTAAGTGGCTTTGTGTGTATAAGCACGAGACTGGCAAACAAGAGGAGACGTGGCACTGTTCCCAGAAGCCTGGATGAGATATGCTCGAGTCTGGCACAAAACACACCGCTGGCACCCTTACGGGCGCCGAAAAAGAAAATCGGCCTGGGAGTCCACTTTGCGACTCAAATGTCAGCAGAAGTCGTGCAGTGGGCGCGCGTCAGCTGCAGACGAGAGAACGGGACATGGGTGTAGCCAGAAGTTTTTTTTTTTTTAATTTTCGGGGTGGGAGTTTAACCATACTTTATGTTCGTGCGTTTGTATTTGTCAGTGTATATATACGCAAGCAAAAAAAAACATTTTGGGGACAGTAAGAGATAGAGATCTGTAAAACTCGGTGATATAGGATTGGTGGTGGAAGAGTCAGGAAAAGACTGTTCTTTCTTGATGGAAGAATGCAACTCAGGGGCAAGATTAATGAGGACAAACTATAAAGAGAAGACCTTTAGAATAAACTGCACAACAGTATGAGACCTAAAGAAAGAAATGACATAAGCTAGCGTCGAGATCCGCTCCGGAAGAGCTCACGGTATCCGCCATCTCCGCCGTAAGCATATTGAAGGGAGAGCTTGAAAACGTGACGGTAGGAGACGCAGCACAGATTATAATTAACGCCGGTATTCAAATTACGCGCGAACTACTACTCGCGGGAACATAAACTAGCGAGCGGTATCTACACCGTGTCTGAGAAGTTTTTGTTGTTTTCTTTTGTTGAACAGTTCGTGAGTCGTAACACATGTATCGGAAACTGGGAAACTACGCTTGTGACCTTATAACCACGCACGACTTCTCTCTAAAAAAAAAAAAAATTAAGAATAGTACACGAAATTTTCAAAAATGAACCGTGGCGAAAGGGCGAAGCTAACGACGTGTCTTCGTGGTCAAACGTGGCACGCTCCGACGTGAGAATTTAGCAGCAGCTCGTTGCTAACACGCGGGCATTCCTGGGGACACGTTCAACAATTGCCCCGGTGAGCTTGTGCTTACGGTTTGTCCGTAATCTACGCACTGGCTTGAACAAGCTGAAATAGATACGCGAAACGAAACAAAAATAGTGCGATAAGCTGTTCACGCGTCGGGCATACAGATGCAGAATCGTCATGATAGAATCATCTGTTGAGTGACATCTAGTCGCTTGTTTACAGTCGGAAGTTTCGGAGAGGCGTTAGACGTAGATAAGAGTATCTACATGAGCCACACACAAAAAAGAAATGCGAGCTAATGTTTAAATCAAATAAAAAGTGACTAATCAGTGAACAGCTTCGCTACCTAGAGGAATCAGGAACACGAGACGTTTCCAGACACTAAGAAATTATCACCCCTAATCGGTGGACTCTCGATTCTGTGAGCTGAAGTGATAACGGATGCGTAAGAGCCGGAATATATGTATATGCATTACAAATCTAACTCACCTTCCCGAGAAATCCAGTGATCCCAGTGAGGAAGACGCACTTGTCTGCGAAAAACTCCGCGATCTCCGAGTTTCCTTCCATGCTTACAGGCACTGATGTAACGCGCCGCCGACTTGATCCAGCGCGCCGATCGAGTGCACGATTGTCCCACCCAACGTCCGTCCCACACGAGAAAAGTTTCCCAAAAAAAATCCGCACCGCCTTGCACTCACAATCTCTTGCGAGACGCGGTCACTGGCAGCTTTCTCTTACGCGGGTCTCCGGTTCAGGCATATACCCCGCCACGGGCGCACGTCATCTCGAGCGAACCAATCGGAAGCGAGAGCGGCACCTCACCCTTTCTCTTTCAGCTTACACTGGGCACCCGTTTCCGCACATGCTACCTCGGTTCAGCGTACGTCCGTCGTCTCCACCGCGTTTGTCTCTTCTCGCCATTACCCTCACCTGCACACAAACGCGTGCCTTTCCTAGAAGGACGTGCTTTCCCCCCTGGCGGTCCCCCTCTCCACCGGAGACTGTGGCACTTCGCGTCGTCCCCTCTTAAAACGAATTCCTTAGGATGGGAGATGCTTTATTACTCCTCGTCTCCTCCAAAGCGAGTCAGGAATAAATGCTTTGCACAGAAGCATGTAAAAGGTTAGGTTGCAGGAGTGGGGATAAAATGGTAACTACGTATTCAATCATTTCTGTCCGCACAGCACGGCTTTCCACGTTGTATCGAATTGTTGTCATTTAAACAGATCTACAACGAAGGAGCGTGCGACGTCGGTATCGCACTAAGCAGCCCCAGTCACACCTCTTGTTCCAGATCCCACTGCAACGAAATAACCCAAATTCAAAAAAGAAAAAAAAAAGAAAACAGACGAGTGAACAGTACGCGGGGATCTTACGCGCGTTCTATACGGACATCTAAGATGAAGTTGGAAACCGCTTATCGTTGTGTATCCACAGCATGGTCTTTTTTTTTTTTCGCGGTATTTCCATTCAAGCTTGGGCGTCATTTGAGTGACCCAGTTTGATAACCCGAGTGTGTCAACGTCTGCGCACGCAGACGAAAGTTGTAAGGTTCTCTTTTCTGAGTGTATCGGAGGGGAGGGGGGTTGCTTTAGCCTCAGTGCCATTAAGCAGTCACCGTCGCGCCCAGTGCGTCATAGTTCGCTCATGAAGCGAGTGCCGCCTCACAGTGTTTCTGTCTGATCACACGTGGGCGGCTTCAACGAGGCCGAATGTTCCCTTCTCTTAATTGGATGTCTTTTCTTTCTTCACAGTTACGTAACAATTCGGTGTAATAACTTCCCCTATACTTTCCTTAGTATCATCATTGTCTGGTAAATGTTATATATATATATATATATATATATATATATATATATATATATATATATATATATATATATATATATATGTGTGTGTGCGTGTGTGTGTGTGTGTGTGTGTGTGTGTGAACGAACGGGCTGCAAAGATGAAACATTATAAAAACGAGTATGACACAATGACACATACTTTAGATAGTCACGCTAGTGCTAATACTCTAAAATATCATGTGCCCTGCTTTACGGATACACGACATTATACCTATAGTTGTACAGTTTACAGTGGTATATCACTCTGCGCCAGACATCGCAGTTGGATTTGCACGTCTGTGAGTCCCGTAGCCCAGCTGAATTCTGAAAGGATAATTTGCCGTCCTGTCAGACATCTGCTTGTGCAAGCGATCCATTCAGGGATTTGTGACGGATGAATGGCAGCTTGTAGTGTAAGCAACAAAACCATGGTTTCTACTCTCTTCGGTTAGGGCTTCCTACAGACAGATGCTTCTTTTGCGAAACGAAGTATATGGTATAGCAATGTACCTTGAGTTCCAAGGAAGGCGATACATCTCACCTCAAAACGAAATGTGAACTGTATCGACCATAACACGTTCTGATGGCAGCACCGTGCGCATAGATGTTGTTTATGGTTAGTCATAACAAAAAAAAAAAGAAACTCGCTAACGTATTAGTTGAGAATTGCGTACACACAAGCTGCAGCATTAACGGCCTGTTTAAAATAAAATTGCGGCATTTTGGATGCGTGCAGATGGGCAACAACATCTGCTGCGATAGCTGCCATACCAGGAGTGACTAAAGATTGTCCGACTAGGTAAAAAAAAAAAGGCCGTAAATTTATTTTATTTATTTACACAGCTACCTTAACCTATTTGACACACGTACAGCACATTTCTGATTACGTGTTTGAATGTCTTCTTTGTTATTTTTCTTATTTTAAGTGTTCGTTCCAGCAAGATCTAATTCTGACGTACTCTCTTTATAATTGTTGGCTTTTTTTTAGAACGCTCTCCCCGCATTTCTGCGATCGATGTGCTTAGAAACTTTGTTCCTCGTCAAAATTTATGCAACCTTTTCACACGTACCCAGTTGCATACAATATCCTATCGAAATACTATACGGCGAAAAACCCGGATGTCGTGGGTTCGATCCCTGTGGGGGCGGTCGCATTTCCATGGAGACAAAATGCAAGAGGCCCACGTAATGTGCGATGTCAGCGTACGACAAAGAACAGCGGATGGTCGAAATTCCCGGAACCCTCCACTACGGCTGATGATTTGATTGACTGATATGTGGGGTTTGACGTCCCAAAACCACCATTCGATTATGAGAGACGCCGTACTGGAGGGCTCCGGAAATTTCGACTACCTGGGGTTCTTTAACGTGCACCCAAATCTGAGCACACGGGCCTGCAGCATTTCCGCCTCCATCAAAATGTAGTCACCGCAGCCGGGATTCGATCCCGCGACCTGCGGGCCAGCAACCGAGTACCTTAGCCACTAAACCACCGCGGCGGGGCCCTCCACTACGGCGTCTCTCATAATCGTATCATGGTTCGTAGGTAAAACCCCAGATATTATTATTATTATTATTATTATTATTATTATTATTATTATTATTATTATTATCATTATTATTATTATTATTATTATTATTATTATTATTATTATTATTATTATTATTATTATTATTATTATTATTATTATTATTATTATTATTATTATTATTATTATTATTATTATTATGAAATTTTTGTTCTCTTGTATACCAGACTTCACTTCGTAGAAGCTCCAAACGAACACTTCTCTTTTTCACTTGCAACTCGTGATACGAGTTTTGAAGGCATTTAAAACGTGAGTCATTTCCTAGAGCGAAGACTCGCGAGTCTGTGCAGTGTCATGGAATCGGCTTCTATTGTCCTGCGCAGGAGAAGGTGAAGGGGGGGGGGGGGGGAGTGCGTTCAAGCATGTCGAGTGACTCATTCACTATTCACTAACAAATGTTGTAGTCGGGATAGCAGGTACACTGCTTCACGCATTTAACTGGCGATAATGCTGAGACTTTCATAAAGGAGGACTCTTAGCATTATCGCCAAGAATCTCTGGGTCCGGGCAGACCGCCACTGGAATCTAAACTTGGCTACCTTCGACGTTAGAGTGCCATCTACTGAGGCTAGTCTAGCTGTGCTACTCGAGAAATTAGAGGGTGTTAAATGGGATCTAATAGGGCTTAGCGAAGTTATATTAGGAAGACAAGTGAGGCGTATGCGGTGCTGAAGAACGGACGCGTCCTATGCTGTACAATGAATTAGTTGACAGAAAAAAACTATAGGGCGGGGGTTTTTATACACAAGAATATCACTGGCAACATAGAGGAATATTATAGTACCAGTGAGAGGGTGACAAGTAACATAATTAAGTTTAACAAAAGGTACAAAACGAAAGTGGTACTGGTCTACGCGCCTATCGAGCCATGATGATCATTTGGTTGAACGCTTCTATAAAGACCTAGAGTTCGACATTAATGAAGTGAAGACACAGTATTCTTTTTAAATTTTTGTTACTGAAATGGAAAGTAAACGAAGGAGTTTTTGTCACTGCAACTTAGTGACGGTTATTCCTTTCCGCTTTATTGTTACAATTACTAGCCTGATGGGCTACGTTATAGCCAAAGTGAGCAAGAAAAAAGGCTGGAGCCTCATGCAGTGGAGGAATGTGGCATCGGCTCTAGAAATTCCAGAGGTAGTTCGCAGGACATAATAATTTGCGAATCTTGAAAACCTTCTTCAGAAAACGGGAAACCGTAATTGGACGTGGCGAAGTCTTAATGGCGAAACTAAAAGTGAAATAGACTTCATTCTGTGTGCACACCCAGGCATTGTACATGATGTAGAAGTAGTTGGCAAGATCAGATGCAGTGACCATATAGAATGGTAAGAGCTTTTTTATTTTTTATTTTTCTTCTTTTTTTCTTTTCGTCTTCTTTCTTCTCTTTTTTTCTTTTTTTAGTTCTTTCTCACTCTCGCAAACATCTTTCAAGGCGTGAAGGACGCGGCAGCAACGAAATTTGGAAGTTCATGTTAGTATAACTCATCCCCTGATGAAGGGAGGACCCCTCCCGAAACTGTTGGGAAATAAGTATATTTATCCTTGTTGACAACGCTCCCGTTGTGCCATATCCCATACCTTCACGAAGACTAACTGGCCCATTGAATTATTACTCCCAATATATATATATATATATATATATATATATATATATATATATATATATATATATATATATATATATATATATATATATATATATATATATATATATATATATATATATATATATATATATATATATATATATATATATATATATATAAGTGCATAAACTCATACACAAGAAGGCAATTAATGAACAAGCAGTGAGAAGGAAAGTACAGAAATTCAGAGTTTCTTTTCATGATTGATTTCAGGCTCTAAACAAAGTAACCGATGTTAGCGTCCATAAAATGAACGATAATCTTACTATCACCAAAGAGTGTCCAATTGAAGTCGGAGGCACAGTCTCTAGACAGGACACCGGCAAGCTATCTCGGGAGACGAAAAATCTCATTAGGAGACGACAAACCATGAAAGCCTCAAATGCAACCGACAAGATATAGCTATTGAAGCTTTCGAACTTAATCAATGGGCGCAAAGTAGCCGCCATCAGAAGGTATTACATGGAGAGACTTGGGCTTGCCTTTAAAAACGACAGAAGTCAAGAAGTTGCGAAGGCGAACTTGTGCATAGGCAAAAATATGGTGTATGCATTGAGGAACAGGGAATGCGATGTCATAACCAGTATGAATAGTTTTGGGGGCGGCGGAGTTCTCGCGATTACTGAACTGAACACAGAAAGCAAAAGG